TCACCTGTTGGCTGTTCACCCTTTTCAACCCTTCCCCATCCACTATTGCAGTAGGATACCCAGCTCTTGGGATCAAGAGCAGTTTTTGTTTCTGGCACTTATGGAGTACGTTGATGTTTGCCTCTATTCTTTAGAAGATAGGATTGGGTCTGTATAATTGGAGAATGGAGAATTCCAGCGGTGTTCATTATCACCATCTAGGTGATCAGAAACAACCAACCTAACAGACACATTTGATGCTTAAAACTGATGGCATCACTTGTAAATATTGGTCTTTTAGTTGTCTCCTTTAGACCCTACTCTCCGTTCAATACTTATTAGCCTCACACACAGTCTTCCCTTTGGCTCAGGTATAAAACAATAATATTCAAACTGGCTATATAGTGGCAGAAGTCAGGTAGGTAGAGACTCTAATGCCTGTACTCTAACCCAATGAGCTTCACTGCATTTATTTGATCCTTTTCGTTCATCAAAAAGAGCATTGACTGCGAGTGCTTCTGGTAGTTGGAAGTGTATGTTTTTGCTCCCTAGGGAAATCCTTTTATATTTAAAGTTTAATATTCATCAGGCACTGAATTTTGCTGTGTATTAAGGTCCCCACACACCTTACGATAATCGTACGATAATCGCGGGAAATCCCGCGATCGTACGATTATCGTAAGGTGTGTGGTAGCCGTGCGACCTCTACTACTGTAAGGTCGCACGACTTTGAACTTACGGACATGTTCGAAAAACCGCCGAGCATCGTACGATGTTCGGCGGGTTTGTGGCATGCCCGTACGATAACAGCCGTACGGGCCGGTGTGCGCAAGCGCACACTGCCCGTTCGGCATTGCGGTCTTCGGAAGCCCGCCCCTCAGTGGGCGTGGCTTGCAATCATCGCAAGTACGATCTGCCTATGCAAGATAGGCAGATCGTACGTTTTTTTAAGTACCTTACAACCATCGCAAGACAAAAGTCTTGCGATGGTTGTAAGGTGTGTGCCCAGCCTTAGTACCAAAATACATTGGCACCATACATAGCCTAATTCTCACCCAGCATGAAATCATGCAGTTTATTGGTACCATAATGGTGCCCATAGACTTGATATTACTTACTTAATCTTGCAAAGAAACCAATGTTTCTGAATCTTGGTCATCTACGATTCACCGTGGAAACAATGTTTACAAAACGTCTTGTGATCTCGAATAAGCTAGCACTGAAATTTTCTGCTTTACACGTTTCACTTTATATGGTAAACATAAATTGCCACCATAAGGGAACCTTTAGGTTTAGGATGTCACCAGAATATGCAGATGCCAGTTGGTGGTCAGATCATACCTGCAGTGCCCTATGATCACCAGGCATTTATGTAGAAGAGATATTACTACTGCCACTAAATGACAACGTCCCGCTGTGCCGCCTGCAAGCATCATTTGTGGCTAGTATGTTAGCGGCTAGTATGTTAGTGGCTGCTCTGTGTAATGGTTTGGTATGAAGCGGACAGCCCCCCCCCTTGCAGTGTCCTAGCAACCCATGAACCCACTGTCAGCTTTCAAATTGTAAACAAACCTGCTGGGAGATCCTGGGTGACATCTGATGTCTGTATCCAGATGTGGTCATGATCATATTTGGTCAATGATGTCAGGCAACATCACCAACCATCTGTAAGAGTGACAGGAGAGGATCATTGGCATGGGTCATTGTGTTTCTGTTGGCAGATCGTTGGCATTGTTCATTGGGTTTGATGCTGGTTGTACATCGCTGGACGTGATTGGATTGACAACAGATTTATTGTACTTTGCCATGGTGTTTGTATTTCTATTTACAGCCCACATTTTTTTGTAAGTAACCAGAGATACTGTATACCCCTTACTCATTCTTGTTGGGGGCCCCCTTACTTTAAGGGAGTCCACCCCTGAAGACCCCAGCCTCTTGGGGACCAGATATGGGGATCAGGCCCTTGTCCTCATCAACATGGGGGACAAGGTGCCTTGCTGGGGAAGGGGATTTTGCCCTCTCCATGTTGAGGGCATGTGGCCTGGTATGGTTCAGGAAGGTGGCGGTGTGTGCACACTTGCTGCCTCTTTCTTTCTTGAGCCAGCCAGCCTGCATATCAGGAATGCAAGACAAAGCAAAATGTTTACCTTTATGTCCCCCTCCCCAGCAGTACATGCATTTCTTAATCACCCCAGTCGCTCCATGCAGCTGGAATAAAGTACATACTTGCTCACTCCATGTGACAGTGCTGGACCAAGCACCAGCACATAAAGAGTCCATGTCCCAATGTAAGCTACTACTTGAGCGACTGGTAGCTTACACGATATCTGGGAACTGAACAAAACAGCAGAGGAGCAAAGTAAAAATGAGTATGTGCTGCTGGTAAGGGAAGGATCAAAGTGAACCTGTTTTTTTTTTCCACTTAAAAGTTTCTATATTACATAACACAGTCAGTCTAGATAACAAAAACAATAACATTGAAGCAGATTTCCAGCCAAAAAATACAAGTTAAAAGTAATTAGCTCATTAAACAAATAAAATAACATTATTGCAATTGTTGCAATATTCAGCTTCAATCCAGAAATTTCCCCACAGTTCATTTTTCTGCTGCTAGATGTTTGATGGCCATCATCGTTCAACCTACATTTTCTGTGCCCAGGTTGTCCTAGACCCACCACCAGCCTGTGACTGGACAGTGAATGAAGAAGTAGCACAGTAAAAAGCTGATCTTTGTCACTCTGCTCTCTCCTCCCATTACCATGCTTCTTGTTAGCACATGAACTGATTTGCTCCTTGTGTTGCTGCTTCCTCTCACACTCCAGTTGTTATACAAGAAGCTGATACCAGGTCACGTTTAAAGCAAAATTCCAGGCAAATCAAATCTTAACCCTTGCAGCTGGGCTACCGCTGGGCACGCAAGGGTTACATGCTTGTATTGTCTAACAAGGTAAAATAACAAAGTTATACTCACCCAAACCACAATCCCAGCTGGCTCCTACACCGCTACCTCCCCTCTTGGCTAGGATCTGACAGCCAGCGGCTCTCTCTCCTCACCGCGCGGTCATGCTGCTGTGATATCAGCTCCCTCCTCTGCCCTCCCCTGCTGGCTTCTGCGTTTCCTTCACTTCCTCGGATCCCTGCTGCATACAGGCGGGGGAGAGCAGCAGGGATCCAGAGGAGAAGCTGCAGGCTGAGCCCCCCTTTGTGCGTGGCCGAGCGGCAGAGGATCGGTAGATATCAGTGATATGTACCAATCCTCTGTGCAGGACAAACACTGGAGCGATCAGTCGATCACTCCAATGTTTGTAAATAACTGAGGACACATAGTACTATGTGTCCCCAGTTATGAATGAACAGGAAGTGCTTTACATTACTTCCTGTTAGGGGAGCGCTGGGTGACATCACACACCTGTTGGGGGGGGACGTTTTTTTTCCCTTGCCTCGGGCGCAAAAGGAGCTAGCTATGGCTCTGCTACCGCTGTGCTAGTGTGGCGGCCGACTGAAGGGGTGGGACACCCAGGCCCGGATTCCCCACAAGGTCACCGGGGCGGCACGGCGCAGAGGGGCGGGAGCGGTGTCCTTGTGGGGAAGTTGCCCTCTCTACATTCAGTCCTGCTTTGCACAAGCCGGACTGAATGTAGAGTGAGGCAGACGATTTTTCGTTTACATGTGAAATCGACGATGTCGCCGATTTCACTTGTAAACAGTGTGCAGCCTTCTCCCCCTCCCCCCTGCACTTACCTCTCTACTTTGGTTCCGTCCTCCGCCGCCAAGTCATACTGTGGGAGGACAGGACGCCGGCGCACGAGAGGAGACCTGGAAAGCTGCTGCAGTGGAGGTAAGAAAAGACAGTCAGGGGAGAGACAGCAGAGAAAGCGAGAGAAGAGACAGCAGATAGACACAAGGGAGAGAGTGAGGTGAGAGAGAAGAGACAGCCAAGAGAGAGGGCTGATTTACACCACAAAGTCTGCGTTGCAGAGTGTTCGGCCTCTAGAACGCACTGGGATGCAAGCCGGCCAGCTCCCTGCGTTCAGGGGTGGGAGGGGGCGTGGGGTTGTATTGAAGTCAATGCCACAGCAGCCACACACCCCGCCCACAGTGCAATTGCCTGCACCCAGAACGCAGGCACATTAGTGCCTGCGTTCCAGTCCAATGCGATCTGCAAAAATAGTGCTTGCAGCATTTTTGCAGATCGCACTGGACCGGAACGCAGGCACTAACGCGCCTGCATTCCGGGTGTGGGCGATCGCACTGCGGGCGGGTGGGGCGTGGCTGCTGTGCCATTGACTTCAATGCACCGTTATGCCCCCTCCCGCCCCTGAATGCAGGTGTTTTTGCGTTGTTGGATCTCATTAAGCTCGTCATTTGTAAAGTAGATCTCCAGACGACAAATTATGGCTGCCCCTGCAATACATTGTAGACCACTGCAGTGAATGGGGAGTGAGGCTGAAGGGACCAAAATAAGAGCAAGCTGGGATCATTGTTCAGGGTAGTATAACTTTATTATTTTAACTCCCTAGCCAAAGCGAGCACTTAACCGTTGAAGTGCATGGGTAGCCCCACTGGAAGGGTTAAGATTTGATTTGCCTAGAGTTCTACTTTAATGATGCATTAATTTTATGATGCATATATGATTACTGAGCTGCAATACTTTGTCTCTTTTATATCTGCATGGAGTTCAGCATTAACCTGTTTGTAAAGATTTTTGGTTATTCTGGTCACGCGATACTGAGCTGTATCAAGTCAGCTATGAAAGCTACATAGATAAGTGATGGAATGTTACTGATAATAATCAGCATAATCAGCTTATTTTACTTATCTGCCCCTAGATAATAACACTCCACAGGTTTGTTGTGGTCCTCAGTAGACATGTAACCCAGCAATTAATTTGTTTAGTTTAGTTTCGGGTCAGTTCGGATTTTTATTTCTTTCACTTTTCAGATGTCAGATTTTTCCGATTGGAAAGATTTGACAATAAGCGACATTTAAGCAAATAATACATATTTGTTTTTTTATCACAGGCCCAGAGGTGTGGCATGAACTGTTTCCTCTCGCCAATGGAGACCGTCAGTCACCTATTGATATTATAACACAGGATGCAAAATATGACCCCAGTCTGATGCCTCTCCATTTTAATTATGATCCACCTTCTGCAAAAGTTATCATCAACAGTGGACACACTTTCACGGTGGAGTTTAATGATGGAGAGGGGAAATCAGGTTTGTTTTCTTTTTTAAGTGCATTCTTATATTGTGACTAGAACTTTTAGGCACAGATACCTATATTTTACATAAACCCAAATGACTTATAAGATCAGATTAATTAAGGCTTGATTCGCTCCAAATGTGTTGGGGCTGTGATGGTCCTTTTTTCCAGTGTAGCCCCAACGCTAGACAAGGCAATTTGCCTTGTCATGAACAGGCTCAGTTCACACCACTGCATTGGAGCATGCAGTACTTTTTTCAGCACAGCGGGCTGCAACATGCAATCAAAGCACGATTTAGCGATAGAACTTAAAGGAAAACTATGAGGTGAGTGAAAATCACTCATCCTCATAGTCCGAGCTGATGTACGACAATTAAACTCACATGTCGGCTCAATAGATCGCGAAATGAGCAAACGCATACCGTCGCTCGCTCACTTCTCGATCATCTCCCTGCAGAGAGTGGCGACTGACAGTCACCGCTCCCCACAGGGATTCACCCCGCCCGCTCACTTCTCGATCATCTCCCTGCAGAGTGGCGACTGACAGTCACCGCTCCCCACAGGGATTCACCCCGCCCGCTCCGATCCTCCAGCGCTGACAAGAAGAACGGATAGGGGAGGGGGCGGGCACAGCTAATCTCTGCCTCTAGCTAGGCAGTGCAAGCTGTCATTCACATAGCTAGGTCGCTCTCGACAGCATTGTCGGGATCCATCCCGGCTGTGGCGGTCTCAGTATACCGCGAACTGTAGCTCGCGTCATACTGAGCTTTGGGTCACGGAAGGAGGTTAGTATATGTCCAATAAAGGGACAAACTATTTAAATATGTGTGTATCACCTCCGTGGAGGCTGAATGGGACAAGGCATTAACCTTCACTCATAAAATGTCTATCTCAGGACAGGCGCAGGAACAAAACGACAAGATACTTTCTAGATCTAGATGGTATCGCTGCCCAACCATTATCCATAAATTCAACCCTGCCACATCTGAAACTGAAACCGCATCTGATGTGTATCAGATAGGGGAAAAATGTTACACATATGAGACACTTGTCCATCAATCAAGCCTTTCTGGGATAAAATGCTTCAGATTCATCACAAATTGACTGGAGATGTTACTCATTCTCCCCCAGATCAAGTTGCTCTCCATGATATTTGCATTTTTAAAGCAAATTATACAAGACCTATCAAGGCCTATTACATCCATCTTATCACCCCATGCATGGAGCATACAAAATCCCAGGCATACAAAAACAAACACAGGCTCATTATATTTGGTTGATTTAGTTACTGTCCATTTTATTAAAATAATATTCATAAAAAAGGACATATACAATTATGTCATGCAATGTCTAATGTGAATTGTAATCTGCCATATACTGTATGTGCTGTTGAAGAAGCTTTCTGTGCCTTTATATTGCCTTTATATTGTGACATGTCTGACCTCACATTGAGCTTCTTTTTTTTTTGAATTTTATTTTTGCTTCATGCTTTTTGCAAGAAACCCTAATAAAAAGAGATTAAAAACGGACATAAACAGGGGTGTGGAATTTTTTTTTTTTTCTAAAACTACTTTTCCAAGGCCTAAAGGGGGGTCCAATATACTTGTTCTTCAATGACAATCTACTTGTTGTGATACAAAAAATTGTGTTAACCAAATTCCGTATTTAACCATTCTAAGGCCTCATTCACACACAACGCAAGAGCAAAATTGTATATTGCGTATATATGCGCGTATATGCGTGCACTATTTGCAATCCCACAATGCATCATTTGTAATAGAAATGTTCATGAACTATACACGTGTAAATACGCAAAAATATGCTGCCCGGACGCATCTCAGTTCCATTCTGTTTTTGGGCATTTTTTAGGCTACGCAAATATACGGCTCCATACGCAGCCAGGGGCCTAAGTAGGGATGCACCGAAATTTTGGCCACCTAAACATATTGTCCAAAAACAGCACTTTGGGCAAAATGGCGAAAGTACCATATTTCGGCCAAAATTGCAATGCATCCCTGGTTTTTCTCCTCCTTGCTGCATGCTGCTATGTGTCCCCTCTGTCAGGAGGCTGGGGGGGGAGAAGAGCACTGTGAGCTCTCCTCTTCCACCACCCCGTTCAGCCTCCTGTGACAGGAGAGTGGTGAGGGGGGCGGAGACTGCTGCACGCTGTCACAGTAGGCCTAGCCGGCGATGCATTGGGAGGAGTCAGCTGTCAAAATAGACCAAGCTCTCCTCCCTGCACTGCCAGCTCAGCCTCCTGTGACAGTGAGTCAGAATGGAGAGCGATATACAAACATTCAGCGATCAGCTGATTACGGACTGCTTGTAAATAACTCTACATCACCTCCTGTTCATTCATGATTGTGGTTATAGTAAACATACTATCTCCACAAGTTATAAATGATCAGAGGCACTCAGTATAGAGGATTCCTGTTCATCCACAACAGGGCTGCAAAGAAAGAGATTGAGGGTTCAATCTCTGTTACTGTTTCAAAAGGGAAATATCAGAGGTCTGTTTAGACCCCTGATATTTTCCCAGAGCCCCCAATAGTAAAGAAGAAAAAAAAACATTTACTAAAAATTTATAAAAATAAAATATGAAAAAATTATGAAAAAAAAAAAGTTTAGAAAAAAAGGAGAGAGGGGGCCAGATTTGAACGGGTAATTCCATTTACTCAAATTATTTGGGAAAGTGAACTTACCCTTTAATACACATTATGCATGTTACAGAGCCCTGCTGCCCAGCTACCAAATTATGGCACAGTGGAATGGGGGCAGCACTCAGCGCATGCACGCGCACACACACACACAATGCCCTACACATGCGTTTTTTTGCATGCAGATGGCAGGGGCAGCAGGCTTGTTTTAATTTTAATGTATTTTATTATTTTTTCCTTTTATTTTTTTTCACTTAACTTTATTGCTATCACACAGGGACCAACAAGCCCCCATGTAATAGCGTTCAGAGGTGACAGGTTCCCGTTATGGAGTCTGCCCTCTAATACAGAAGATCTGTGAATACAGCGCTCCTGTCTCACTGATCACACAGAGCAGGTCCCTACTCCCTACTCCCTACTCTCTACTCTCCATCCTGAAGCCATTTTCCAAGGTCATGGGTCCCCCAGAAGAGCAGGGGGAACCTTGAAAACAGGGCCAAATGTAGAAAAAAAAGAAAAACCTGCCCGGTGCCCAGGACTGCATGTCCCCGGCATCAGGCAATAGGAACTGCGCACCCCTGCATAAAATGATGGTCAGACATGTGGGTATTATCCTAACCGAGGAATCACTTGTTGTTCTATTAATATGCATGATTGGATCCCCAGGAGTGTGTGCGCTTCCATCTACAAAGAATGGAGTATGGCAAAGCACCCCAAAATCTGGGATTGCTCCTGAGGGATGATACTGCAGTTTGCTTTTGCCCTTGTTCTAGGCGCTCCTACTTAGGGATGTCCCGATACCACTTTTTAAAGACCAAGTACTTCTTCTCATGTACTTGTTGATACCAATTACCGATACTTTTTCTTAAAGGGACAGGTGACATTTAAAAAAACAGACAATACAGACTAATGATTTTAAGCCAATTTCTTTCTATTATGAAGAACTCTAATTTAAGATTGTTTTAGAATAAAACATTTGTATTTGCTTTCACACACCTGTTGTGAAACTACAAATCCGATCATGCATCTGCCTCTGAGATCATTTAACCTATTCATGTTAGCAGGGGAGAATTGTAACTATTACTGCAATGTACTGGAAGTGCGTACATTAACCTGGTACACACTTCCAGTACACTGCAGTAATAGAGTTACAATTTTCCCCTGCTAACATGAATAGGTTAAATGATCCATATTACAACTACATGTTATTTACTATGGATCATGATTTAACCTATTCATGTTAGCAGGGGAGAAATTGTAACTATTGCTGTAGTGCAGTGGAGGTCTGTGCTGTATATATTTACTAAATATACAGTACACACTTCCAGTACATTGTAGCAATAGATTTACAGCCAGCCTTGTCCCAGCTTCCCTCACTCACATTTCACTCCGATCCCTATTGCCTCACGCTGTGCCTCTCGTAGTCGGCACTGGGCAGGATCGCTGCATCCCGTCTCAGTGCTCAGCTTGTGGGAGGCGCTCACAATTCTGCCCTGCTAACATGAATAGGTTAAATCATGATCCATAGTACATATACAGTACCCACGTCCAGTACACTGCAGTCAGCATCAATGGTTACAATTCTCCCCTGCTAACATGAATAAGTTAAATGATCCATAGTTGGACTATTATATTGTACTATTATGTACTATGGATCTTTTAACCTATTCATATTAGCAGGGGAGAATTGTAAATCTATCGCTGTGTACTGTGTCCAGTGTACTGGACGTGTGTAACGTACATGCACTATGTACGTTACAAATCTATTGCTGCAGTACACTGCAGCAATAGATTTACAATTATCCCCTACTAACATGAATGGGTTAAATGATCTATAGTACATAACATGTAGTTGTGCTATGGATCATTTAACCTATTAATATTAGCAGAGGATAATTGTCAATTTTCCTGCAGTGTATTGGGAATGTGTACTGTATATATGTACTACATATTGAGTACACTGCAGCAATAGAATTACAATTCTCCCCTGCTAACATGAATGGGTTAAATGTTCCGTAGTACAACTACATATTATGTACTATTATGTACTATGGATCATTTAATCCATTCATATTGGATCATATATCATGCAGTGTACTCTATATGTAGTACATATAGAGTACATACTGCTAATAAACTGCCGGCAATAGATTTACAATTATCCTCTGCTATTAATAGGTTCTTAATAGGGACCCCCCTTGCCCTCACTAACTGCTCAATGATGGCTGGTGCCTCATGATGTGCCTCGCTGGTGAGGTCGTAGTCGGCGATGTGCGGGAGAGCAGTGGCGAGTCAGCGCCGCACGTGTCGAGGTCCTCTGGGCAGTCGCCGGCCAGCTAAATTAGGGCCCCACCTGG